CTCGAACTCTTGATCCCCCCGTACTTGCTTGACGAACTGATCACACGCATCGAAAGTAACGAGGATCTCACCTACCACGCGGTTTCAAAGAATGGCGAATTGCGGACTAACACTCAAGATAGCCCCAACGCCTTGACTTGGGGTATCTTCGCGGGTAGAGAGGTTGTCCAACCTACCATTGTTGAAACAATCAGTTTCCTGGCCTGGAAGGATGAGGCATACCGCCTAGGTGAAGACTGGGCTAAGTGCCATGCTGCTACGAGCCCCAGCAGAAAATTGATCCAAGGCCTGGTGGACAACTGGTACCTTGTTAACATCGGTGAGTAAAGCCTAAAACTATTCCATCTTCATTTCACTTGCTGATCCTTCTATCCAGTCAACAACGACTTCCACAACACATACGATCTCTTTGAACTGTTCAAGGACTTGAACGTAAAAGATTTTGATGTCGAAGTCACCGCAGACAACGCCGACTCGAAGTCCCAGGAGGCCGAGGCCACCGCAAACTAATTTACCTACATCACGAACAACCCCAGCAGGCTATGCCTGCTCCATGACTTCTCTAGCATCTCTTCAACGATTTACTATGACTTCTTAATTCAACATCTATATCTCAACGATACCTGCCTGGGGTCGATCCACCCCAAGGCGCGAAATGGCTTATGGCGACACGAATTGAAGATTCTCAACGATTTCTTCTTTGAGCGTTATTTAATTTCAACATGACTTTTAACATTCAACCTTATACCCCCACCCGATTATTTTCATTTCTCATCGAGCGCGAGAAGAATCTCAAATTCAACATCATAATCAAGTCTCCCTTAGAGCCCGAAGCTCAGGGGTCGTCAACCATGACCCCGCCTCCTCTTTCGCTTTTGTCTATACATTCTTACCTCAACCTTCTATCTCGCTTTTCTTTCTTCCTTTATTTACAACAGAGCAGGGCTACATAAAACAGGGTGATGCGATACCTTACGATAATTCAACACTATGGATGACAACGGAGTTGGGTTCATGAGAAACGAAAAAGTGATCCTTTTCAACACGGGATACGGAGTTTCCTCATGAAGTCTTTGATATATCTCACGAAATTTATTTACTCAAGTCTTGAATAGACATATAGACTTTTAAAAAAAAAATCCAAACAAATTCAATGTTATAATGGTGGCTTTACACTCTTCCTACTTTTTAGATACTACGAAGGCCGGTCTACTTATATAGTTCCCTGGAAAGGATACCTGATATTGCACATCCGTTCATAACGATAACTGACGTCGCTGGAAAAGACGTTCAAGCATAAGAATAATACAAGAAATGAGGACCCGCCACTAAAGTATACAAAAATACAAGAACAACGTAAAGTACCAAAAGTGTCAGGTTGTCATACCCTGGAGAACTCTTCCTAGCGCACTCAGAAACCACCCAAGAGGCCTTATAAACCATACGATCCAGCTTCCGATAAGGATCATATACTCCACCGCTCGCCCTAGAAGCATCATGATAGAACCAAGAACACCAAGATAAATCACCACTTGACAAAGATCAGTCAGAAAACGAGCAAGATCTTTCTCACTCGGTTGAGGCCAAACCCCTGTTGTGGTATAAATGGAGCAAGCATGAAGCAGATTTCTGAAAACATGCAGGCAATGCTCAACCATGTTCAGAATACAATTCAAAGCAATTTTGAACAAGACAGTCCTTGAATGCCGATTGTCTATTATCTGCGTAAAGAGGCCTTGTGTCTGCGCAGCCGACAGGACGAAGATGTCCATGATCAGACTCAGAGTGATTGAATTCAACAAGCCCCGGTAGTCTGCCTGTACCGCACTTGTCTGTAGATCGGCACGCAAATCAGCGACCCTGGAGCAAAAATGATTTTCCTGTATGGACTTGCTACCTGATTTGTCGTTTTCCTTGTGATCCGTCTTACGATCGTCCTTAGGATCGTCGACTTGTAGGCCATCCAACTCGGCTACCTCAACGATTCTAGCGGTCTGTGCTGGCGCTTTTGGATATCGCTGATCCCTCGTGAGCGAACTGGCGGGAGAGATATCATGGCCCGAGGAGGGTATGGACTGAGATGAGTCCGATATACTCATTGCCAGAGTTTGGTTATCATTGTTCGGTGGAGCAGCAGGAACTTTTTGTGGGGTGGTATTCTGTATGCGTTGCCCGAGATTTTCTGTCCGTGACTTTACCATGACGGGCATACGGATGTACCCACGTATGGCCCGGCGCCTTTCCGCGCTCATATGCCCCAATTCTGCTCGAGCTTGCTGTACCACAGGAGCTTTTTTTACGGGAGTATCTCTCGAGGTTGAAGGCGCTGGCCAAGTTGCGTTGGATTTTTCCCACGAATTTTGGGTCGCTCGTCGTAATCCCGAAGGTGAAGAGTGCATTTGAGGCTTCGCCCTTACATCCTTGATGGTTTCGCCTGCTATTCGAGGCGGTACGCCTACTCGCTTCGGAGTAGCGCATCTCGTTTCCTCCGTGGTCACCATAGTGCGTGTGATAGTGGGTGTGATAATGAACACATCGTCCCCATGGTTCTTTGTCTGGTCCTGAGTATTTGCCGCGTGGGCAGCATGGTGTGTGTTCTCTTTCCCCGAGACATGCGCAGGCATCTTTGCCTTGTCTTGTCGTTGACATGTAGTCTCTTGACACATCGTCTTCGGTGACTGCTTGGAGCATTGGACACGCTTCGAACTCTGAAAAGTTGGCTTCCGTTCTTCTTGAGCGACGGTCTTTTCCTCCGATACTGCTGCCATTGAGTGGGATGGCGTCATTATTTTCTTCCAATCTCTTGGTTTGGCCATTGGTGTCGACACATCCACCACTCGGGGGCGCTCGTTGGTTGACGAGAAAAAGAGAATCTCGTCGGGATTCTTGTCGCATGGGCCCTTGATTTCTCTGCACCCTAAAAAAGAGCCGTCCGGATTAGCATCGGACACCTTCTGCTTTAGCCTCGATGGTGCCTCTTCCCAGATAGTGCTGCAGCGCTGTTTCCCAATCTCATCAGGGCAGTAATATCGATTATGACCAGACGGATACGTTGCCGGTTGCTCACCTGCCTCTACGGGACGACTTGAGCGTGAGTCCTGGCCATCGAGAGTACTAGGCTGCTTTCGTTCATAATCTGGCAGGTTCGCATTGCCCTCAGGTGTCGTGGTACGTGGACTTGGTAGAGTATCGGGGTCAAGCATCGTATCTCCCTCTTTGTGCACATTTTCAATGCTCTTCTGAAACTCCACAATCTGCTCCACACTCATTGTTGGCGGATTTGGGTCTTTGGCTGAGGGCATATTGACAACAAATCTATCTTCCCACTCCGTCATTGAGCTACTAGGGCCTGACACTGGCGATATGGAAGGGTATGAATGAATGGACGAGTCGGTAGTGTTATCTGTCTTCTCAGGGGACCTTTGAGGCGTCGTGTCCTGAGTCTCGTGGCCTGTCAGTTTGTCCTTGCTCGACTGAGATCTATCCTGATTCCCGGAATGCCCCTTGGGGTGGAACACAGGTCTACCTTGACTGCCGATGCTAGGACCCGCTATTTTGGTTCTGGGCTTAGCCCCTTGCTCAGAACCCCTTTGACCACGAGTAGTTGAAGTTGCAGTTTTCTGCTTGTGTTTGGCGATTTCATGTTTGGGTGAGCTAGCCAATGAGATAATCTTTCTATAGGCCTCCTGACAATAGTCCTTCTGTTTGTCTTTGCTCCGTGATGCTGTAGGTGACTCCCGATCGAACTTGCCTCGAACCTTCCGCCAGTATTGCTCGCGATCTTTGTCTGTCGATTTTGGTGATTCACGATCTGACGCGTCAGGGGACCGTTTTATCTGACTGTGCGCATTTATATTCTGCTCGTTTTTCTGGGGTGTGACAGATGCCTCCCTCTTTTGCTCCTTATCCTTATCTGCAAACGCCCTCGGCTTGGGGAGCTTGGTGGCCATGCCCCTCGGTAAAAGAGTCTGGGGTATCTCGGGGGATCTAATTTTTGACCCTGTCGATTTTTGGTCAGCCCCCGTCGGGTGTGCTCCATTTTGCTCGTTCCCGGCTCCTTGGTCACTGAATCTGGTACGTCGTCCGTGTCGAGCTCGCGGCTGGAGGTTGAGCAAATGTCCTTTCGGTAAAGGAATATGTCCTTCCATTTTGGATCGATGAGGTAGACTGGCAGCTTCGACTCTTAGGTCAGGTTCAGCCCTTCGACTTACCCATTCCTTAGAAGAGCGTGGGTTTTCCTGTGTATGGGAGGGCGTGGTGTGATTACTACGCCTCCTGAGGCGTTTGCCGTGCGAGAATGAAGCTGATGGCTCATTGAAACACGACAGAGCATTTGCGAAGAGAGTTCGAGAGAACATTTCCTCTGCAGGCTGACTCCGAGTTGCAAAGGGATGACGTGCGTAGTGATACGATTGGAATGCTAACAAGCCCAGCTCACCACTTCAAGGAATGCAAACAAGTCGCTCGGCATGGAATGTGTGCCCCCGCTCTGACGCTATTTGGTATGGCAGTTGCCCACGCGCTTGGTCAGTTCCTTTCTAATCCGGTCACATTTGAGGAAGCAGCGACGCCCCTGTCCGTCTGGCATGTCCCAGGCGGGATCCCAAGTAACCGAGGAGGAATTTTAGAAAATAACGAAAAGACTGGAACATAATTTGGCTTCCTCATTTGCGGTTTGGCTCAAGTTTAATTTCCGAATCTCGCAGCAATGCGACATGGAACATATAATACAGTGGCTGGCCGTGTCTGTTATCAGCCTACATTCCCGAGTTGAAATAGATCGATACTGTGTGTGCCCCTTGAACGCAATAGGACTATCATTTTGAGCGGAAGAAAAGACTAAAGGACTCCCAAACTCCCTTCCCATATGCTTAGTTAAACATTGTCCACAAGGCTATATGCGGGTGAACGGTATAAGAATTCTGAGGAATGCGTGGTGCATCAGGCTACCATGAAGGTGTCCTGATTTCCACTAGAAACAACTCAATTTTATGAGTTGTCTAGAATCTTCCTGTCTGGCGACGCAAGTCAAGATGAGATCGTCTTGAGCCTGATGCAATGGGGCTCGCGTCACCAGGAACATTGCTCCTCTTCAGCGGACTAGACGGCTTCTTCATTGGACTTGCGCCTCGCTCTCTATAGAAGAAATCCCCAGTACTCTGGAGACGGCGGTCAAAGTTCGTGGAACTTGATTTCCTCAAAGGGGAATTAGCATGCGAGTAAATACCCAGACTACCACCATCTCCCGTGGCGGTAGGGGTTTGACGGAACTGCGGCTGCCGAATTGACGAGACAGGGCCTCGAACAATAGGAGAAGTGTCCCGCAAATGACTTGGTGTTTGCAGTGGGCCTTGGTATTGAGATGGGCCAGAAGGGGTTCCAGTTAGTGATTGACGTCCAGATGAAATACCATCCGGGTCAACATGTTTAAGGTAGTTGGGGTTCGGGCTAGTCTTGAAGCCCCGCTGGACAATGAAGGTAGGAGTATAAGTGTCCACTTTATTAGACTTGGATTTAGAGCCGGATTGGGTGACATCTGCGTCGGAAAACTGAGTCCCGACATCTCTCATTAAAGGCTGAGTTCGAGGATGCACATATTTTGTGTCATACTCTTTCAACACTTCCTTATGTACCAGGGTAGAGTCCTTTGCCTGCTGCTTGAAGGAAGTTGATAGGAATGTCATCTGTACTGACAGAAGCGTTGTCAAGAAGATTGTCGTCACAATGGTAACGCTTGGTCGCGGATCTGATAATTGTGTAGGCAGGAAAAGCCAGTAAACTAAGACATGCCCAGGACTAAACAGGCAGAACAATCGCAGGCAAATCGGTAGAGGGTCCCAGACTGCAAGCTCCCACACGTCACGCTGCGCATCGGGGTGCGCTCTTGATCGTGCCGACCCGGAAACCACATTGGCAAGGTATCGCAGCGGTGAGGCCGGAGTTGAGTCAACCCGTACACGGTGAGCTGATGGTGTCGCAGGTGCGCGGTCAATTGATGCTTCAAACATGCGATAGTGTCGTTTGCGGTAAAATGTATAGAAACTATTGAGCCCGGTAAAACAAACGAGGAGATGAACGACGAACGAAGCCTGTGATGATGATGGTGTTCATTAGCGCCAAAGCATCCCAAGTCACACAACGAGCCTGGACGTCAAAGATATAGGCGGGAACAATTGATGGCGACAGGCAAACAACTTACAAACCAGCTGAGCCAAGGAGTGCCCCCATCTTCGCCAAAAACATCATCTATGGCTCTCCCGCCACTGGGTTGAGTGTTGGCTCTTGCGATTAGAAAGACCACATTCAAGACCACACCCAAAGGCAGCGCCCAGTCCTTCTCAAACTGATCCCAATCATTTGCATCTATCTCTTCCGACAGCCATAGGAGAAAGTCCAAGGGGTTTAGGTAGGATTTGATGCGCTCTGCCAATGGTTGGCGGCGTATGAGCCGGGGCATCGTGACGCCAGAAAAGCTACGATAGTAGCGCGAGCAACTGCAGATCAAAACAAGGATTAGCTTTCTAGGTGGCTCCAAAAGGTAGATAGAAATCAGCAACTGGACTTACCTATGGCAAGACAAAGATGACAAGCTGAGGGCAAGTTTTCCGTCCCACTTGTGTAAACATACAACAACACAATGAGAAAAAGCGCATACAATATGTGCTTAGGTAAGCAGCGTCGGGGCCACTTATGACGACTGTCCAACTGTCCGATCAACTTGCGGCAAGTCGAGACTCCACGGGGACAGTGTCACCCTTGTCCCAGATCCCACTTTCTTTCGAGCTGTTCCCTTCGCCGACTGCTCGTATCTATCACAATGGCGGCCCAAGCCAAGGTACACTTCTCACCTCCCTTCTTATCTGCATGAGTCCGACAGCTAACACAACACAGGACCGGCAGTTCCTTGCTGTCATCGGAGATGAAGAGTAATCTACAGCCTGCGGGGTTATCCTGGACCAAAGTTTTGCTAATTTCATATATCAGCTCGGTGACTGGACTTCTTCTCGCTGGTGTTGGTGTAAGCGATTTCAAGAACGCTATAGCAGCCGACATGTCCGATAGTGAACTAATCGGCTTTCCAAAGCATGTCACAGATCCCCCCGACTCCCAAAGGAATTTCCTTGTGGTAGACTCCAAGACCGAAACCTCTACGATTGAGAAAGCGTTCCAAAACTTTACTCAGGAAAGAAAAGATATTGCTATCGTTCTCATCAATCAACATGTATGTCATTCAAGCTAAGTGCTTCCCCATCCCGGAGAAAAAGGTTAGGCTCTTCATAGTGCGTTGTCGTGCTTACGGGAGAACAGGTTGCAGAGCGCATCCGCCACAGTGTTGATTCCTTCGCCGATCCATTTCCCGCCGTCCTAGAAATCCCAAGCAAGGATCACCCATACGACCCCGAGAAGGATAGCGTGCTTAAACGGGTGCGGCGTCTGTTTGGAGAGTAGATCTCGGGAGTACCCTGTTCTACTTTTATCTATCCTCGTCATGATATAAGTGTCGTATGTGGCTGTGGGAATGGAACTATGTGTGCAGAGGGATGATACCCAGTTTATTCGAGAGTTGTCCATATAGACTCGTATATGCCTACCATTGATAAGTCAGGGAAAGGCGCCAGTCCGACATCTATGCCAGGACGACTATCCTGCAGAAGGAATCGTCTTTCACATTTCGTAAATAGAATACGTGAGATTGTTTGTGCTTGGTAGACAGTGAGCTGGTAGACACAGTAATTTACATTTCGCCAGACTCGCTCGGCGTCCTGCTTTCAACGCAAGACTAGCCACTTCAACACCCATCCGAAGGAAATGAAGTGGTACGTACTCAATTGACAGTACAGTACATTGGACCGATCAAAATCTTCCGGTGAATTTGCGCCCACGGCCTATAAATATGTGACGTGCCTTAGATAGAAACAGGGGTATCTAGAGTGGGCCCAGTATGGAATTACACGCAAAGGAAACCTTTCGTTGGGTAAGCTTCACAGCCAGAATTGCGCCCATTTTGTACCTCTTAAGGTCGACGTAACTGTTGCGCAGATGCCGGAGGCCGGGTTTGAAAAAAACCGAGAGGCTTCTTCTTGCTTAAAGATGACGGAATGAGGTTGTAGAAACGATACGAGCATGTCTCTCATGGGCCAGCCTTTCGCTGTTATTGAGAAATTCTAAGATCATGGGCAGAATAACCATCTCATCCGATCCCACATCGAGAGAAGCTTGTGAAGGTGGGTCAATCTCCACGATAAGGCGTTTGGGCTCCATAACCTTAGTTACGGCTATCATGCTTCAGACCCATGAGGATTCAGTTCTTGTCATAGTGAGTATCAAGACACACTTCAGAGATCCATGTTCTGGTTAGAAAGGTCAGTTAGCACAATGCTTTGAACGTTGAATAATAAACGCCAATGCATGGCAGTTTCACCAATCATGCGGCTGTGCCTCTCTGGTATCAATCACGTGGGCCCAGCCATTCGTCATGGGGGTCCCATGACACCGCTCCTCCTTCCACTCTTACCTGACGAGAGGTACGACTTACTACTAGTACTTGCACCTTCTACCATCGTCATCACAGGTCTTTATAGTGCTCATATCATTTGTATTCGATATTACATCTCCTCCTGATCCGATCCCACGAAGTTTTACAAACCCTCGCAATCATGAAGTTCTTATCAACTGCCGCTGCGCTTCTCGTCTGCCTCGCTCCCATTTCCACCTCAGCTCGAAGCCTCGACTTCCTCAAGTCATCCCAATCCCCTATCCAAGCACAAGGCAAATCAGTCGCAGGAGATAACCCTCTGGAATACTGTAACGACCCGTCGGGCGACGTCCTAGATATCAAACAGGTGGACTTGGCACCTAACCCACCTCTCCCGTATGTCAGCGAAAAGCATACACAGGCATCCTTTGGTATAATATTGACCATCATGACTGATTGAATACAGTGGCAAAACACTTGTCATCACGGCTTCGGGCACCCTGCGTGAAAAGATTGAGGAAGGTGCTTACGTGCTTTTGGAGGTCAAATATGGCTTGATCACTCTTCTCAGGCAGACCGCCGATCTCTGCGAACAGCTCGTCAACGTAGACCTTAAATGTCCCCTGGGGCCAGGTGACATGACCTTGACCAAGCAGGTCGAATTGCCGAAACAGATTCCTCCTGTAAGTCTTATCGTCCCATGCTTAGATAGGGTCTGGTTTGCCAGGGAGTACACTCGACCTTGGCCAGGATAGATTGCTAACAGATGGCTTGTTGGGTAGGGAAAATACAATGTTCAAGCCGATGTCTTCACTAAGGATGATGAGCGCATCACTTGCCTGAAGGCCGTTAACGTTGAATTCAAGGGTCCCTTCTAAGAGGTCAGCAATATGTACAGCCTGCACTTAGAGATCGGTATGCTCAATCTAGGTTGAGCATGACGTACGCTTAATTACGAACCTCAACATGTACCCTGTTGTTTCCCCCTTTCTTTCCAATCGCATGATTTATGATTCTTTCGACTTCATTCGCTATATCTTGTACGGCGTTTCGGAGCATCCGCTCGATACTACCGCTTTCTTTGTCAAGTCGGGTCTATTTATATATGCCGTGTTGGCATCGCTTAAATGCATCTGTATCATCAACCCAAGTAGAGCTCTAATGTTCTTACTCATGGTTCATTTGAATCAACCATTATAAAGACCGTGCACGAAGCCGATCTAGAATATCCTGTTAGTCAGATCTCCACTAATCTTTGCAAAATTAATATTAAATTATTTTGTCCATGGTAAAAGGCTATATCAGGTTAGTCGGCTAATACACCTATAAACTTGCTAGTACCTATAGCACCGCAAAGAGATCCGCCTTTCTATACGCTGATTCATGGGTTGGTCCTAGATACCCAGAAACATAACCCGGATCCAGCAACGAGACACATCGACGTGTGTATCCTTTAACGCGAGATAACAGCATGAACTCCATATTATGCTCGGAATATTTTAGGTATAACATATTTACATATCATGACTGCACAGCCTTCAGTCTAAGATTTAATATCAAACTTCAAGCCTCGGAGACGAAAATACCAGCCATACCCATACCCTGGAAGAGAGAAAATTAGTACAAGGCTAACTTCGGGCATCTTAAGCAAGCATTTCTCAGACAGGAATTACTCACAGTTCCGACACACATGGAAGTGACTGCCACTTTCTTGTTCTGTCGGCGTAATTCGGAGAGAGCAGTAACAACCTGTCGCGCTCCTGTGCATCCCAATGGGTGGCCGAAAGCACTATATCGGTTAGTAACAGCGTTCAAGGTGTTTGCAGGAGGCTGGCTTGGCTTACATTGCACCACCCCGAGGGTTCACCTTGGATTCGTCAAGACCAAGTTTTTGAACACAATAAGTACCCTAAAAAAAGTTAACAACCACTTGGGGAAACGAAGAAGACAGAGGTTGTGTTTATTTACCATGGATGCAAATGCCTCGTTGATCTCAAAAATATCAATGTCATCCTTAGTCAAGCCGAGCTTGGAGAGGATCTTAGGAATGGCTATAGACGGGCCAATTCCCATGATTCGGGGCTCTAAGCCGGCAACAGTGGCTCCGCCGAACTTAGCCAGAATTGGCTGGCCCAGTTCTTGTGCACGAGATCGTTTCATGAGGACGAGTGCTGCGGCACCATCGGTAATTTGGCTAGCATTACCACCCGTTGTAGCACTGGGCTTCCACTGGGGGAAAGCTGAGCGGATCTTGCCGAGTGATTCGGCAGTCGTGCCGTAACGAATACCATCATCACGATCGACCACGACGTCCTTCACCTCTCCAGTCTTAGGATCCTTAACCTTGGTATGAACGGGAACAATCTCGTCATTGAACCAGCCAGCTTTCTGGGCATGCTCTGCTTTCTGGTAGCTCTTGGCAGCGAACTGGTCGTGCATTTCACGAGTAATTCCGAATTGAGATGCGACATTTTCGGAGGTCTGGCCCATGGGCTGCTTGTTCTGGGAGGCAATTGGGTGTGATGTGATCTTGTCGGATAGCTCTGGGGCACCGTCGTCGGGGTTGGTGCTCATGCTCTCTGCTCCAACTGCAATACCAACATCAATTGAACCGGCAATGATCTGGTTGGCAATGTTCTGGATCGCCAGCAATCCAGAAGAACAGAATCGGTTGGCAACCGATGCTGCGGCAGTAACGGGGAAACCAGCTGCCAGGACAGCAGAACGGGCGATGTAAGCTTGGCCAGGGGCAAGGACGTTTCCGACACAGACATCTTCGACAAGGTTAGGATCGAGTTTGGACCGCTCGCGCACATCCTATTTGTTATGTTAGACACGGAGAAGATCGACATGGACAAACAAGCACTCTACCGTCAGCAGTGAGATGAGAAGCTCATCTAAAGTGGTATCCTTCAAGCCACCCTTCCTAGCTTTTGTGAGGGGAGTCCGCAGGGCAAGTGTAATCACCTATACCACACATAGTCAGTTATTTGATCCTACCCCAAGTAAGTAGTATTGTATTTCTAAGCATGAGAGACATACCACATCGTCAGGATTCTTCGCGAGAAGCTTTGACTTTCCGGACGCAGCACCAGGCTCGTAAGCTGGTTTGCGATAGAAGATAGCCGTTGTTGAGGTGAAGACATGTTGAAAACTTATTGATCACGGTAGTATTTCCACAGGTGTCTTTTCCAAGATACTTCTTTTTGGAGGAGACAGAAGTCACTAACTCCCCCGCAATGATGCACACGTCGCAATATTATAATAACCTGGGGCGAGAATCAGAAGCATAATCAGCCGCGGTTCCTAATCTCAAGGACAAAAGCGCCGTCGGAGAATGGATCAAAATACCGAGCCGAAGGTTGGGACACAGCCAATGGATAAGGTTTCGTTGGAAGATTAGGCTCATAGATGCCGTTTCTCGGTGCTGGAAGTTGTCCAGACCTGCCGAGTGGCCTTGCCGTAAAGCTGTAACGAAGGCGTATGATACGGTACCGCTGAGTGGCCTCGGCTGTCGGCTGGATCCATCAACAAGGCCATGGTTTGGCTTCTACAAACTTTGTGGGGAAGTAACTCTAGTCTCTCGTACGTCTTTGGTGGAGAAGTGGTATGGGGAAATCAATTGGAACTGGATAAATATTGCAATCTATGTAGTAATTCACAGTCTTGCTAGATCGGGTGGTACTTGGGAATACTAATACCTTGTATGTACTAGTAGCATCATGGATGATGAGTACAGTGTCATTAGATTGAAGCCTGAGGCATGTCTTGTTTGTCTCGCCCATCCCAAGGTTGACAGTATGGGATGTGTGTCACTTCCGAGTCCCCGCTGAATGTCAAAAACAAGGTACTTCTAAGGAGAACAAATGTGAATGCTATCTGTGGAGGCCGGGGGACAGAGCCGTTCTACCCAATGGTGGTCTTGAGAACCCTTAGCTTAAATCGATCTATCGGGTGGCAGCATTTCCTTGATTGCCGTCTGGAGCCCCCCAGACCCCAGACATTCGATCTGCGCCATCGCCGGCACTTTCAGGTCCCGTTTCTAAATTCCGATCGGTCCAAGGTGCACAGCTATTATTCACTATATTCGTGCTCTCCAGTCCCAGTCGCCATAGCCGACTTGACAATTTCCATGGAGCGGTGATCAGTGCGAAGCTCTTTTCCTTTGTTCGAGTACTTTTGTGGCTGTTTTGAATTAGCCAACGCAACCAATACAAATCCAACAAGAGATTTCAGAAATATACCTACAGTTTACATTTATCAGACCCCTGCAGCCTAATGGACCTCTTCTCAGAGATTAGCGCGCCAACAATGGCGATGGCTTCAGCTCTCTCAGTTGGTGCGGCGGCCTACCTCAATGCCAAACTTGCCATTTCTACCGACATATCAACGATATACAATGATCGGGCTTTCACGAAGCGCCTCGGCCAGCGAATTGTGGAGCTGGGTGACACAACTACGATCTATAAGATGCTCGAAAGAGTCATCGAAGTCGATGGTCATGGCTCGAGGGAAGCACTCTGGTTTGAGAACAAAACGTGGACATATAGTCAATTGAAGGATCGTACGTACACTCATTATCTTATTACCAATGTTTGGATACAACTCTTGCAGTAAAACTGACATTCGCATAGTTGTGGATCGATTTGCTACAATTCTCCATGGACAAAACATTAATCCAGGAGATTTCGTTGGTGTTTTTACCACCAATTCCATTGAAATGGTTGTGACGATGTATGCACTTTCGAAGCTGGGCTGTGTCTCTGCACTTATAAATACAAACCTGAGAGGTACTGCCCAGAACTATACCTATGCAACACAGATGGAAACTAATTCAGGCGAGCATAGATGACACATTCGTTCACTGCCTCAATGTCTCTGGTGCCAAGTTGATCATCTCAACACCTGATTTATCACAGTTTGTCTGTTCTGATTTGCCTCATATTGCGCTGAATATATCATCCTTCGACGGCGAATCTGCAGGAACCACAGAACTTATCACAGCGGCGCAATTGCAACAGCTCACCCCCCTTGGCTTGATTCCTGCCAAGAGGTCGCCCAGCGACTTATGCGCTCTGATCTACACGTCTGGAACTACGGGGAAACCCAAAGCATGCGCAATTCGAAACATGATGACGCTCGTAACATCGAATCCACTTACGACTGACGTGAACAATCAATCGAAGTATTTCCCTCTGCGCACATATTCTCCCCTCCCTCTTTTCCACGGCACTGCCTTCTTCACGGGGTTGTGTTACTCTCTTGGGAACGCGGGCACCTTATGTTTGCGCCGCAAGTTCTCAGCTTCGCAGTTCTGGAAGGATGTCCATGATTCAAGAGCCACGCGTATCTTGTATATTGGCGAGTTGTGCAGGTACCTTCTGTCAACGCCTCCTTCGCCCTATGACCAGAATCATTCTTGCATTGTGGCTACTGGTAACGGACTCCGTGGGGAAATCTGGGAGCGCTTCCGTCAAAGGTTTGCGGTCCCTGAGATCCGCGAGTTCTACCGGTCAACCGAGGGTGTGGCCAAATTCGATAACCATGGTGTCGGAGCATGGGGTGCAGGAAAGATTGGGTTTTCGGGCCCCATCAGGCGGTTCTTTGAAGACGATGTGTTCATCGTGAAATATGATACCGAGACAGAGATGCCATACCGGGACCCAAAGACAGGCTTCTGTATTAGAGCGAAGCTTGGTGAGGAAGGAGAGGCGATTGGGCGAGTCAGAAGTCGTGGGCTACTCACTGAATATCTCCATAACGAAGATGCTACCGAAAAGAAGCTTCTTCGGGACGTGTTCCAGAAAGGCGATCTTTTCCAACGTACCGGTGACCTTGTGGTCCAAGACAAAGACGGCTGGGTTAAGTTCCAAGACCGCGTTGGAGACACCTTCCGCTGGAAAGGCGAGAATGTCAGTGCAGGAGAAGTCCGCGACCACATCTGCCGGATTCCTTCTGTTCATGATGCCGTTGTTTACGGCGTAAAGCTGTCGGAGTATGTGTGATACGTGTTGCTTGTCATTTCCAGCCATATACTAATGCATTGCTCTTAGGTATGACGGACAAGCCGGCGCTGCGGGAATCACTCTTGAGGATCCTTCCGCAGCAGTGGAGTCTGAATTCATGAACAACTTGTACCGTGAGCTGAAGAAGAAGGGTGTGCCATCGTACGCTCTGCCGCGGCTTGTCCGACTCACTGAGAAGTAAGACTCAAACAACCTATTTTTCTGATGATAGTGTATGCGCTAACATGCACTTATTTCATAGGGTTGCTACTGGCGTCACTTTCAAGCAAGCTAAGGGCGACTTGGCCAAGAAGGGATGGGATCCGCGAGGGGATTGGAAAGGTGATAAGTTGTATTGGCTGAACGGGAAGACATACGAGAAGCTTGACGAGCGAAGCTGGTCTTCGATCGAGAGTGGACAGGCGAAGCTGTGATGGGGAGACATGTATCAAGATTAGACCATCTCGTTGGTGTATATATAATGCCAAGACACTAGAGCATAAAGTTCAAGATTTATTGTTTGTTCGGCAGTTATCCATCTCAAACAAAAGATTGCATTCTCCACAGAATTTCAGTACCGGAGATTACTCGGCGGTATGATTTGATACTCTTAGCATATTAGTATACTAATTTTGACCTACTTTTTGATATTCTATTTTATTATTGTATTTCTTTCTCTTTGACAAGAACGGCATGCCGCAATCAAACTTCCGTCCGCAATCTCTCCCGAATTGAGCTAGGGCCCAAAGATCGGCATGAAGCTAAGCCACTGGTGAACCAATGTATGAACACGGCTTTCCCTGCTCTACCTGCTATTCGTTCGATACCTCTTAGTCGTATATGCTCGTATATCTTGTATCATAGTCGATCGAATCGCAACGGGCGGGGTTAAAATCTCTTGCATTTAGTATATAAAGGTCGCCCCAGTCTGTTTTTTTTAAAAAAAAAAAAATGCAAAGCAAAATTTCAACCCTCATCGCAGTTGCACCATGGCAGATTCCAGTGCACCTCCAGAGGAATCTCATACCCAACAGTCTCGCATAGACGATGGGAAAGCCTCAGAGCAGGTTTTTCAGGAACCAGCCCCGGATAAGGATCTGGAACAGTCAACGGCACCTGACCAGTTTGATGCGCGATACTGTACCACCAAGTGGGAAATATGGGCATACTATGCGTGCGTTGATTAACATATTGTGGAAAAGAAGATATTACTAAATGAGAAACATCAACTCAGTTATTACATTGGAAACAATGGATTATCTCTGTTCAGTAGGCCACCCCCTCTTATCCATTCGCGTCAAATATAAAGCAGACGCAATTTAACAATTGACCATTTACAGACTTCGGCCCAACTGCCTTCCAGAACCTACTCAGCCAAGCCGCAGGCGATAGCGGAACCCTCTATTTCGCAGGACGAGAACGCTCCATCAATAGCATTGTACTTCTCAGCAATGGAATTTCGTTCGCCATCCAAGTAGTTATCTTCCTAGTCATCGGCAGTTTCGCCGACTTCGGCACATGGCGACCCAATATCCTGGTCACTCTTTCAATAGTCGCATATGCAATCGGGTTCGGCTGGCTCGGCGTCCATACGGCAGACAAATGGCACGTTGGCGTCGGACTGTACATCGTCGGCTTGATCGCCTATCAAACGACGCTGACCTTCTGGACGGCAGCATTCCCGGGTTTGGCGCGCAATACGCCCGAAATGAAAGCAAAAGCAGATGCCTACACCGCGGGAACTATATCGCGCGATGAATACGACCATGCCGACACGATAGAGCGGAGTAGGTTGGCGAACATCGCCTTTTATGTCCAGTCCTGTGCGGAGGTGGTCATCCTTGCCATCATCGTGGGTATCATGTTTGGAGTGCATGTCAATGCAAGTGAGGAAAATAACAATTGGGGCTTGAGTGTTCTGATTGCCTTTGCGAGCGGTGTGTGGCTGCTAGTTTCGTTGCCTTGGTTCTTTCTTGAGAAGCGTCGGCCAGGACAGGATCCGAAAGGGAGAAACATCTTTGTTGCGGGTCTGTGGCAGCTTTATTATGCTGCGAAACAGGTGTGGAGATTGAAGCAGAGCTTGCTTTATCTTGTTGGTAAGATTCCATCGTGGTCTATTCCCAATGCTTCCGGTTGTCTATGGAATTGCTAATGGGGAATCATAGGATATTTCCTCTTGGGCGACTCGTTAAACACAACTGTGACTGTGATATCAACCTTGCAGAACAGTGTGGTCTCTTACAACACTCTAGAGTTGACATACCTTCTGATTGCTGGAATCGCAGCTCAGGTTCGTGCATTATCTTATCTCTTCTTGTACATATTTAACCCATCAACAACAGGCAGTGGGGATCTACGGTTTCTGGTTCATTCAGCAACGCTTTAAACTCGGCACCAAAACTATGTTTAACACCATTGCCGTCGCAATTATCTTACTCGATGGCTGGGGTATGATAGGCATCTGGACACAGAAATTTGGTTTCCATCATGGCTGGGAATTCTGGGTACGTCAGATTCTTATTCTCCACTTGGGGGGGTGTCATCAAACACTAACTGTGCGAACAATAGCTCTACCAAGTGTATTACGGCCTGTTCGTCTGCCCGTGGTATAGTTACTCCCAAATCATGATCTCCGAAGTCGCACCCCGAGGCCACGACTTCCTTTTCTTCAGTTTATTCAGTATCGTTGGCAAGACCTCATCGTTCATTGGGCCTCTTGTTTCAAGTGCTATTATTGATGCAACGCCGTCTGGAAACGCCTCGATGCCTTTCTACTTCCTGTTCGGGCTGAGCGTGGCCAGTTTTGCTGTTTTGGCGATTTGGTTGGATCTGAAGAAGAGTCGACGAGAGCAGGAGGTGTTTCTGCAGGGTAAAGATAGCGATGGGTCGGAAGATATGTGAGGTTTATATTCTGAGGATTTGCTGTGGCGGGGAGACTGTGAGGCTTGAAGTATGTACACAGCATATATTCATAGGAGTATACTAGATGTCTTCTGAATCAATGTACATTATCCCCCATCGTTCACAGTTAGCATGGTATATACTCTAGTTTGAGGTTGTGTATCTTGAATGGGGTAGGGTTTTTTTTGTGAGCTTTTACTTGTTTTATTACAATATGAGCCCTCTGGAGTGCGAAAATAAGTGCGAAAATAAGTGCAAAAAACTCTACATCATGTTATAGCATACCTTCAGTAGTTTATAGTAGCTTTTACCCCTGTTTCTCCATACATACTTCGGGTAAGCGCCGGATTAATCAGAATGACTCATTATGACTTTCCCGGATTGTCGGTGGGGGTCTATATCCTAAGGAGTTTCATATTGGTTATTCTTACACTTTCATTTTAAATCCTTGTTTTTGGCTAATGTATAATCTACCGTTCACTGCGTGTATCAATCCCTCTGAGCGTTGAATAAGGGTTCAATCGCGGATTGGCTATCATTTTATGCACAGCAACACCTTAGATCATCATTCGCATTTCCGTCTTTTAATTCTGAGTCGTAGCAAGTACATACATACAGTGACTATTGGTCAACAATAAATATTGATCAACCTGCAGAGTCATACGTCCTGCTCACCAACTCAGACGAAAACCAACCGGCATATCCAGACACAACACTGGTCGTAAAGCATAACCTCCTGGCTTGCACATACTTAGCTATACTAAGTTTCCTATTAGACGGTATATGACACCCTCCAATAGGGGGCGAAGTGGCCCACAAAGCCCCAGAGGGTCTCCCAGTGGTACCACAAGTATATAAAACGCATGTTTGTGTCGCCAGGCCACTAATTTTCTTCCTCACATCAACAGATGAGCTGCTAAGCCGGCAGCCGCTAACACGCACCATCCAAACCGAGTCGCAAGCATCAGCCTCTCCCTGTAGAGGAGAGGCCCTAAACCTTGAGCTCATGGCCGCACAACAACCACCCAAGTCCCTCATGGCCATTTCGCACACCGTGGTTTTCGCCCGACCACAGCAACAGAAGGAACCTGTCCCTCCCTGGTGAGCCCTCGTGGGAGTCAGTGCCCGACTTCATAGCTTCGGGACTTAACTGGAACAATGACATGTTGGAGACCCAGTCTGAGCGGCAACCGGACGCTGCTCATATCCGAGCTGATCCCCTGCTTCCCTCGGACCCGCCAGTTTCTACTTCTCTGACGGCATCGTTCGGCCCAATCGAAGATACTGCCCTCTCGAGACTGTTCAGTCCATTAAATGCATCGTCTACGGGGGCCGGATTCAATGGTATGTCATTTATTGGTTGTTTTCCCACCAATGTGGTTGAAACTATGACTGACCGGCTACCAGATTATCATGAAACTCATGGTGATAACCACGTCTCCCACCAGGATAGTGTATCTCGGCAACAGAACCTCGGCTTAATCAATATCGAAACTCCACCGTCGAACACTACCGCGGCAGACGCACTACCCGGTCAAGAATATCCACTATCCTCTGAAGTATCCAGCGCCGGTCGTTCTAAGCGCAAAGCTGGCACTCTGGAAGAGGACTCTAGCGATGAGAAGGCCACGACGGCCATCAAACGCCAGCGCAACACCATGGCGGCACGGAGGTACCGTCAGAAGGGACGTGATCGCATTGCTGAGCTGGAGTGTGCTTTGAGAGATGTGGAGCAGGAGCGAGACGAGCTCAGGCTCCAGCTGGCGAGGAGAGAGGCTGAAGTGGCTGCTTTGAAGGAGATGTTGAGGGGGTAGATGGAGGTTCTTGGGGAATGCCGATTTATGGATTTGTTGTAGATGTTTTATTTTTTTTCTGTTGAAATGGAGTGGCATGTTTTCTTGGTTGGAGGCTTTGTCCATATATAGGTTATATTAGTTTTTACTGTAAATGTAACGATATATGTTTTTGGGTTGGTATGGTTAATCTAGATGGCTCAAATACATACCGTACATGGAGTAGGTTATAACAATGGCGAAGTTGAGTCAAATCACTGTTCGTTTATGTTGTAGGATATACTTCAGTAATGAGATTATACTGGAGTATCTTCGTCTGGAGCTACTCTCGCGGCTACAAGTTATAAATGCTGAAAGCAAACTAGAGAAAGAAGCAAAAGGATATATATATTTTTTCGGTCCAAACTTTTGGAAGAGTGAAAAAAACTCCAGCCCATGCTATGCCTAAGCGCCGTATCTCGGGAAAGTGAACGTGAAGGATCAATATCTGACGGAGAACATAAAAGAAAAGAGTAGCATAAGGAGAACATAAATATCAGTAACAAGCTTAAGAGTCTCCATCCGACGAGGCGCTCTCCTTCGACTTGCTCTTCTTCTTCTTCTTTTTCTCCTTCTTTTCGGAACCCTCGGCGTCTGCCTCTGCTTCCGAGTCGCGCTTCCGCTTCTTCTTCTCTTTCTTCTCTTTCTTTTCCTTCTTGGCACTCTCCAGCTCCTCGGGCGGCACGAAGGCCTTGGCCCGCTCTTGCATCTTTTCTTCGCGCTTCAGGCGTTGCTTCTCCATAAGCTCCTCCTTCTGTGCACGGTCCTTGGCCTCCTTGGACAAGAAGTACTCGCCCGACTCGATCTGCAAGTCCACCTTGCTCTTCTCCGGGGCCGGTGGGAAAGGAGTATACACCTTCTTGGACTTGTCGGTGACCTTGAACGGCATGCGACGCTTCGAGAGGGTGCGCTTCTTGAAGTTTGGCAGGAATCGGTCCCAGGATTCTTGGGCCAACGTGGGGTCCTTGGCCAATTCACGCTTGATCATGAGCTCCTTAATGTGGTAGATGGGATGGATGTTGGCCATGCAGTCGTTTACCACCCTGCGCACTTCTTTCAGACCCTTGTAAGGACCCATTGCGGAGACGGTGTTTCCCTGCACCAGGATATATGTCTCGGTTAGGAGCTCGAGAGCTTTGAGAGTCGAACCGTTTGGTCCTAGGATACGTTGGCGACGCTTTACGAAACGTTCTTTATTGCGGACTTGGCTTCGGATTTTGATGATATCGCATGCGACGCCATCCTCGAGGATTTTCAGAGCCTATCATCAATCAAAACGATTAGCGGATGGGTCCCGACAGTATTGCGAAACAATGGACGATCAACCTACCTGTTGCACAGGCACACTTCTGGCAAGCAGCTTGATGAGATCACGGGCCTTGAGAATTGCGGCGGGGTCAAAAGTCTTCCGGGTGGTCTTCACAGTCATGCTACCCTCCACCAAATCCAGAGTACAAGCGATTCCCTGCTTTTCCAGAGCCCTTGTCACGACGGGCCATGCTTCCTTCAGGTAAACTTCACGATATTTGGGGAAGAGCGTCGCGAAAGAGGATTCCTCGGCGAAACTACCGGCGACATTATCATCGGCTTTGAAGGGCTCGATCTAGTCGCAGATGGTAGGTTAGGAGACGAGCGCATATCGCCTGGGGAGATACAAGAAGAACAAACCTTCCACTTATCGATGTCATCCGTATCCCACGGCTTATCCTTCTTGTATGTGGACGGCATTTTGGAAGATTCGGTTGCGCAGCCTTTCTGGCAGGTGGTACAGGATTATTCTTCGACGGAACTGAACTGGCGGCCAACTTTTTTCTGATCCGCGCGGAGGCTTACCACTTTGGGCATTTAGCGCGCAGAGCGCTTGGGACGGAACCCAGACAGGGAAATATGCGCTGTAGACGCACAAGCGCCCGATTGAACGGTTCGGGCGTCTACGCGGATGAGCCTCAAAGGTGCTTCTCCAGCAATTGGGCGTCTGGTTGGTCAATCCTCGGTTTATCGGCGGGTCCCATTCCACAATCTGTGATAAGTTAAACCACGCAGAAGAAACGAAGCTACAGATTGCCACATGGCAGTGTTGAGTGGCCTTCCGAGTGCAGACGTGGTTGACCCAGCTACATTACGAGTCGTAGCTGAATTCGATAGATCAAATACAGCTGTGAGCATGGCAGATCCAACTAAGCCCCTTTTTAGCATTCCATGTCCGTGGCGTTGGGTCTCCTTGGTGGGCAAACTGGGGCACGGGACAAGAAACATCAGTTTGGCCTTGGAAGAGCAAGACCATCCAGTGTCTTCTAGACACAAATTGAAGCCACTGTTGAGTTCTGGTGCTTATATTAATCTACAGCAATGGCCCTCTGCCATTTAATCTCGGAGAAAAAGAAAGGCAAGGTGTACTGGGAAATTACAGAGGCCCGCAGCTCCCTTTGCCCCACACAGTCTATCGTAGGAAACTTTCCCTTCAGGACGAAGGCACCAACCAGAGTCCAGAAAAGACCGTTTGTAAAATGGAAATTTGCCTGTAGCATCGCCTTTAATTGTTCTCTCTGGCCCAATCTATGGTTTGACCACTCGCCTTTTTGTGGTGTAATTAGAGTTTCAAGAGGTGGCCACTATTGATAAGTCGTAACGGCGAATCTGGAAGGCAGAGATTGGCAACGCTAATCCTAACCAGCGATCCGCTAGAGGGTTCTGGATGGGTGCATGCCAATCCTCGGTGTAGTATTTCACGGGCAATCAAGGCAGGAGTAATTGGACATTGTATCGACAGGATTACGGAGGTAGAGGGAGGAGAGGGAGCTTCCATCAGGGACGATGTTGGCAGGTAATTTTTTTGTTGCTGCTTACGGAGTAAGGTTCAGAGACGACCCGTCAGTTTGGTACCCTACCCGAGACGGGGCCCGTTTCCCAGTCCTTCTTGTCCCCTACACCGTCTTCCTTTTCTCTTTCCCTCTCTCTCTCTCCCTTCCTCGGTGACAATACCTTCAGGTTCGAATTGGTGGACCACTCCCTCGGGGTTTCCACTGTACCTTGGCTGTGTCGGACAAGCTATCATATTCGCGGTATGCCCGCTAGCCCTTGAGATGATGATTCTAGGTGCACGGGCGTTGTTTGGTTCCCTCTTCCCACTCGCTTGAGTTGTCTTCTGGCTTTTGGACCGACAAGTCCCCATCCATCTAGCACTCACTGTTGATTCTAGAAAGTCACAGATCCCCAGTGGTGCCTTCCGGACCGATATGTGATCAAGACAACGACGACAGTTCCGTTGCTTCCTAGAAACGAAGATGACCGCTCACGCAGAGTCAGCTGGCTGAGGAACGAAGGGCTCATTCCATCAACACAGTCCTCTTTCCTGGGCTAAGACGAGGCTGCATTTCCGGCATACGCCCAGGACTCTGCCTAGTCTCTTTAAACAGGCCTCTTGAGGGCCCAGTCCTCGTGCTGCATGTCAGCGAGGTTCCGGCTTCATTGTCCATTTCAGAGTGACCCGTCTCCGAATTCGAGCCCGCTGCTATCTTGATTCCCTGTAGAGTGCCGTCATATGCGAGAGGCAGCCTTCCGTTGGACGATTGGTGCAAGGAGTTACCTGCTAGTTTGGATAACTACACTGTCGCTTGTGGACGGTTCAGCCATGCGGGGTGGTGATAGTACTTAAGACCGCCAGGGGCATGACTCCTAGAGGTGAAAGAAGATACTGAGACACAATTCTGGTGGAAACTGACCAATATTTAACTGCTTTCAAGCTCTATCTGTCCAATGCCAAAAAATCTAATCTGTTGAAGGAACATTATGGTTCCCTTGGGCAGTCAAGCCAGAGACGTCTTCGATAGAGATACAACACCTCTCTACAAACCGTGGGAAGAGGATTGCGGATTGAATATCACACCCGTCCCTTCGGCAATATTTACTGGGGTTTTCTTCCAATGCAAACATACCTGGTGTTGTTAGAACACCGTCACGGATTGCCTGAAGGACGGACTTACAGGGGAAAGTAGGCCTTCAGATTGTGGGTATCGGCTTCCTGCTGTGCTCGCGTTATCAGCTCCGCGAACTGCTGTGGGGGCATCCGCAGTCGTTGGGTAAATGGATAAAGCCCCAACGCGGGAAGCAGTTTTTTAACATTGTCACGGTTTTTGGCGCCTATATCTCGCATCCTGGGGTCTATACAGTGTTAAAAGATACCTTTCACTCGTATGACGTGTGTGCACTTTACCATTTGACCATGCGGATAGAGGAAGCGGGATCATTCGAGCATCGACCTCCGTCAGGCCTGCTGCTGTCAGAAGATTTCTCAACCTTGTCCCCACGCGAAGGTCCTTCACTTCCTCCAAAGAGCCCATTAATTGCGTGCTCCATTGCCTCAATGCATGCTGCTCGGTGATTGAGCCGTTATCTGACTGGACATTGAAGTATATCTCGACTAATTGCACCCAGCCCCCTGGCTTTAAAACTCTGTGACAACGAAAGGTTAGTCTGAGGTGTCGGCGATACCTTACGTTGGACCGGAGAGCCGGTCTTCAGGAACCAGACCTTTGAATGTCTCGGATATAGGAGGGCCAGCGGTCTCGGTTGATGCCGGTTGCGAGCAGCCTTGAATGGACAAGGTCGAAGTAATTCGGGGGGAATGTGAATGGACGGTTCAGATCATCGACCTATATGGCGACATAGATACGTTAGTGACACATTTCTCAGAATTCACAGACTCCCGCTCTGGACTTATCTCCGCTAGAATCGGCAAAATGGGGCCGCGGGAGACATTTCGTCGAGCAGAGAGAATGTGGAAAAGGGGCACAGTTCTAGCGACTCTTGCATAGCGAGGCTCCCGCAGTCGAGAGATGATCAACTCACTTGTAGGCATAAATTCTCCGGTATATCGTCTGGGTTCATATAGGGGTATATATCGAGGCCGATTACCTTCAGTCGAGGTAATTAGCTGGTTGGTACCTGGGGAGAAGAACCCACCTGGACTACGTACCTTACATCTAGGGTGCTGCTCTGCAGTCTCAATAGCCCACGATCCAGTGCCATACCCACAGTCGAGGATCTTTTGAGGCTGTGGGATCGGCGGGAATATTAGCCTGTTGTCGAAAACCTTGTTGAAAACCTGGTGCTGGAGCTCGAGTCGTTCTGCCTCTTCCTGGCGGTGGATCTGCGGTCAGCTCTGTCCCGAGAGTCCCAGACTTTTCTTTTTTGGATCTTACTCCGTCTACCGGCTCAAAAAATATCTGGTGGTCGATCGAGAACTTTTGGAACACGCGACTTTGGATGGTGACGGTCTCAAGGTACACGGCGTCCAAGGCTTCCGTTTCCGAGTCAGGGCTCCTTAACGACCCAGAAAGTCAGTGCTCATGGTCTGTCCACGATCTAGCGGCGGGTTTAGGTACGTCATGGTTGACCCTTCTCTGGAATGCTCACGAGGGGCTGGGGTTGAACGAGTTACGAATTGAATCACGGGCAGCAAGGAAATCCCATCTCTCAGGACGTCTCTATCGTGGGGAGTGGGTGGCAGGCTATGTTGTGGTTAAGAGATCTCTTTGTTGAAGCGATCGACGGGGCACGAAGAATATTCGACGAGAAAAGTACCGCTGCACACGAACCAAAAATGACTATATTGCACTCCATGGACTATTGGTGAAGCAGTCTGTACTATGCGGGACTGAGTCTTCGTACTAAAATGTACGGCCGGTAAAGGAAAATCCGTCCAGGCCAGTCCCAGACGTCTGTCTTGCCTTTTGCAAGAACCCAGCAAATCATGGTCCTTAAACCCCCCTTCAAAGAGGCAAAATTCAGTCAATGGCAGGCCACCCTTTCGAACTACTACATTTCCCTCCGTGACAGCAGGTTAAACATCGCCCGCCCTTGTCTTTAAAATGAAATACGACTACCTCGGGGGTATTCGCCCAGGATTACATCCCACCAGTCTGCAGCGAAGGGAGGGGTCGGCGGTGCTTCCGGAGGGGCCACCGATGCCGACGGCGTTCGATGCCTAGGAGGGCTAATTCACTAACCCTTGGGACTTCACCCTTCACCCACCCTATCAGTCTATTTGAGAGCGGGTTAGACATCGTCGCACGGGGTTTCAGTTTCTCCTCGACTCCCTGATTTGGTAGGAACGCTTAAGGATCGTCTTGAGATCCTTGTTCTTAGTGCGGACCGAGACTTTGGGCATTTTCGCAGTTAGTACTGGGCTCACGTGTTGTCTCCAATCACTAATTTTACATGTCTCTGCAGGCCAGGCAGTATCAGTAACTCGGTCTCATCCACAGCCCTAACCTTTGCATGGCCACACAACACACTAGATCTGCGTTAAAAATTTTTTCTAAAAAAAATTATGGATTGAAGGACAGGCCTGCATGGTGGGGGTGGCACGTCATGATGTAATATCCCTGGGATACTCACGCCCGCAGAAATAATCGCAGGAGGGATACTGGGGGTCTACGACCGTGAATCACGGACGACAAAATAAATACCCGATGGTCACCCTGCAGATGCAATCAGCTATTGCGGATACACTAAGGATTAGCTGAAGCTAAAGCACGCTGGTTCGCGCCGTCAGACTGTGTTCAATGCTGGCTGTAGGGGTGGTCAATGGTCTAGCCGTTGACCTCAGCTTGGTGCTGGCTGTGCCCAAACAGCCACCCGTTGTAAGCCTGGGTATCCCAATATGCGAGCCATTTAAGGGTAAGTAATTTGAAAAAAAATGACGGCATCGATATTTGAATAAGTGGGGGGAATCCTGGAGGCGTGGCTTGTGAGATGGGCAATATATCGGGTTTGGCTCACAATCTAGCCCAATTCTATGAACTATATTCTCTTTGGGTTTTTGAAATCTTCCCTTTTCCCCTCAATCACAGCCTGCGCCTCTTTCTCACCGCTCCTTTTGTGCGTCGCCCGTCGTGCTGGAGCTTGAGACAAATGACACTAAGGCACCCACACGATGGGTCACGGTCCCGATTGAGAATAGCAGAGTATATCTGACAAGCGACGGCGCTTGGCGGGTGGGCCAACGATCTTTAGGTCGCACGGAGGACTCTCTTAAGAGACAAGATATGCAAGCGATGGGTCGGGGCGTCGGAGGCCTGAACAACTGTGGAGTCTGGGAACAGATTGATTTTGATTGACCTGACAAGGAATACGAGGCCTATAGACTACTTTGCGGCATCCCCATAGCTCTATGATGCCAATTCCCGCTCTTGGAATTGAGTTCAATGGTTACTTTCAGGGAAAATTCCACTAACGGGGAGAGAGGCGAGATGGGAGTCCAACGGGCAAATCAGCGTCGCCTCGGTCGAGGATTGCTCTTCCTTCGACCGTTCTAGTGGATTTTCACGAGAGTGTTGGGTTGGTCATGGCCATTGATTCTGATTTGCGGTCGTACACCCATGACCATCACTAAGCATGCAGACCGGGAATCCATGCAGGGCCAACGCCAGATGAGCACCCAAGCTGTCGGGTCTTTTGACAACAGGAATTAAGCCCAGGGCCGACAAGGCATATTGGCAGCGATCCCAGAACCACGGTTCAGCTTCGGGAAAGCAGTGCGCAGCGCCGGAGACTACAGCGGTTAGGCCCGCTAGTGTGGGCGGACTAAAAACCCACCCACATCGTGCTACACCACGTCGCACGCTCGATGGAGTTCCAATCGCTTTATCATTACGTTGCACGCTTGCCGTCATTTTAATTAATTATCCTTTTTTTTTTCACTGTATTTTTCTGCCGTCTCTTTCTTTCTTTTTTTTTTCTCTTCTTTTTTCTTTCCGGGTGCTTTGACCATCTGTCACAGTCCCTCCACAATATCTCGAGATCTGTCTGTGCGTACCGATCTACGTCGAAGTGGCAAAAACAATTAGTATCCAGAGTAATTTGGTGGCAAATCAGCTAACAGACATAAAGAGGGAAGATCATTGCATTTGGTTCATATAACGTCATACAGTATACATCTACACCTTCATACTCCAGTGGCCTATATCATCGTACCAACATCTACCTAACCTCCAAAGACCCAGTCATATGCTTGACACTAGCATCAACGATCTCCATCACAAACGCAGCCTCTTGCTCAGTGCGCGGGGCATAAATCAAAACATATTCTGACGGAAGCGAGATGACTTTTCCTCCAAAAAGGGCCTTCGGAACCTGAACCCCAGATAATCTATGCCGTTGCCCCCAACCAGCTTCAATCACTTTCTTGCCTGTTAATCATGTCCCGGTCAGTCTCATGTCTAGAGAAAACATGTATACTCTTCTTTGCTCCGTGCGACAGGGTATCAACGGGGTATCAACAGCGAATCAAGATGGGAAGAGGAATCATACAGTCAGCAGGAGCCAAAGTCAAATGCAGCGAGAAGTCCTTCAACCGATGGATATGCGCAATCTCGCCCCTCATCTGCTTCGTAGCGGGAGTCGGGAGAAGGCCATCGGCGAGAAAGAGGGCGTCGGCGTGAAGCTCGAGCTTCGACGGGGCAAGTACAACGAGGTGTTGGTTGCGATTGGCGAAGGCGTAGAAGTCCCGATTCAATTTCTTTATCCCCGGTAAGTAAGTACATACCATAGTCTTGTATGTGCATTACACTTTTTGCATATTCGTGACAGACACAAAAACCACATTAAACCAGAATAAATAAGAGCAAACTGATCTATGCGCAACGCAATACATACCTCCTTAATCTCCTCCGACGGAAACTCCGTAATCTGTCTCTGCGGTACAATATGCGGTCCAACCTCAGGCCGATGATCTCTCTTCCTCATGCTGTTCCATTCATCACCGAGATAGCTCGTCGTCTCGCCCGCTGCAATCTTCGCATCATAGACCCCCGTCGAGAACATCTCCCTCCCCCACGGCGGAAGAATCACACTAGCCGCAAACCATCCGATCAAGTTATACGGCACTCCACCGGGCCCATAGGAGAGAAAAGTCCGATAATCGCGATACACACGAGGAAGGGTAACCGCCACTACCGCCGCCGACAATGCAGAAAGAACAACCCGGGTATTATTGCCTGATTGTATCGGGAAGCGGAACTGAGGGATATGCGAGGAGAAGAAAGTCGAGGCTTTTTCGAGTAGGGATGTCATTTTGGATGATTAGGTAGGTACCTGTGATGTTGTAGTCCGGGTTGAGATAGTATAGTATATTATAGGCTTGTGTTTTTTGTTTTTGTTCCCTTCTATTGATAGTAAGTGTGTTTTTCTAGGTAAGGATGGCCACGGTCTTGATTTATACTATTTATATACTAGTAGGTGGTAGCTGAATCGACGAAACCCGTGACAATGATCTACCGGGGGTTTCCGGTCGGGTTCGGGATTGGTGGCACTGCAACCAGGGATTGCGTTGTGAATGTACGAGCGGACCAATCATGTTGGATTACTGTGGATTGGGGTTCGGGGTAGTATTTGGGTGTTGATATTTTAGGTGGTTGTATTGGATAGGTCTTACGCAGTAGGAACCCAGGTTATCGCAAGGTTCGCCTGTTTGGTCTGCTTAGGTACTACTGGTAACTTAGAGATAGGTTGGCATCGTAGGTAGATGTGGCCCCCAACTGGTGGATGGGTGCGGGTTGCCTGGTGTTGGGGGCTGGGTCTGGATTTACTGTATAAGGTTGGTTGGGTCGGAGGGCTCGAGGACTGCGAGACTGGTCTACTGGTTCGTGGAATCAATTGATGGGTGCTACTATCCATGGTCTCTATGCTATATGTGGTGTATGGAAAGGGTTGTCAATAAGATGTCTGTACTGTCTACTAACCAGAGATGGTGGCCTTCGTTGTGCGCCGGTCATACAGGAGTTATGTGCAAAGCTAGACGGCATATTCTCGCGTGGGTATGATACGATTTTCCTGGTCAGACGAATCAGGTCGCTACTCGATACGCAGAAGCATTCAAGCTTCCTTTCGCTTCACGCTCCTCCACTCCATCCCCAGCGCTCCAATCATACTGGCGCAGGCCAGACCGACGGGGAGAAAGAAAGCCGTCGTTAAGGCCTGATCGTAGCCCTCAATTACTCGAGGGATATCAGCGGAAGGAACATACTTCTCCAAATCGGACATTCTCATAGCCGACAACGAGTACGTGTCTAGGTTGGGCAACAACGACCCCAAACGCGTGAGCAGCTGTCCCGTGAAGATAGTCTGCGCGATAGAGACGAAGAGAGCCGGTCCGAAGTTTTGAGCGAAGATGATCACAGCAATGCCCATCGGGGAATCATCGACTGGTAGAATAGTCTGGGCTGCGACCTGAGGGCCTTGAAAGCCCACGCCCGCCCCTACGCCCAGGAGCGCCTGGTAGCAGAGAAGAGAGGCCAGGGACTGCTTCACTGACAGTGTTGTTAGCAAACCTGCCGCAATGGGGGTCAACATCCCGGTCAAAATCATGAACGGGGCATAGTATCCCAGAAGGCTGGTGGCAGAGCTTCCACACATGACAGCAACAGGCACGCCGATCGCGATGGGGAGGCTCAGCACACCGGATATCGTGGCGGATACACCGCGAACGACTTGAAAATAGGTTGGCATCTAAGAGTGAGAAAATGTCAATCAATGTAACCGGTTGGAAGGGAGATGAATTTGGTCGTACATAATACTCGAAAACAGAGAGTGTGGAATTATTGCAAAAGGAAAACCACATCCCGGCGAGCAAACTGCGACGCCGCATGATTCGCCCCGGAAGCAGGGCGTTATCACCTCTTCTCCTTTCCTGCCACATGAATGCACCCAGAAGAACAGCCGTCAAGATGAATAGAACAATGATCCGTGTGTTTCCCCATCCGTACTTGGAGCCACCCCATTGTAGGGCTAGCAACAAAGACGTGATTGAGGGCACAAAGATGCTCATTCCGAGGAGATCAAGTTGGCGAAGCTTTTCTCCCCATGGAAGGTTTACCCGGGCGTTCTTCTGAGGGTCTTCGAAGAAAAGTAAGATCAAGAGAAAGGACAAGCCCCCAATGGGCAGGTTGATATAGAAACACCATCTCCATGAGACAGAATCGGTCAATGCTCCCCCAAGTAGTGGGGCTACAGTCGCCGACGCACCCTCAACCCCAGCCGCGATACCAGTGAAAAACGGACGTCGACGGAGCGGAAAGCTCTGCACTACCATGCTATAGTTCCGCGTGTTAGCTGGAACGGATAGTTTACTGGCATAATAGTGCAAACGAACGTGAAGACTCCAGATATGATACCCGCACAGCCCATACCAGAGATCGCACGTCCCAGAACCAGCGCGGCGGAAGTGGGTGATACACCGGCAACCAACGACCCTATCTCGAAAATAACGACTGAGGCAAGGAAAACATGTTTGACTGAGAATAGATGGTACAGCTTGCCAAACATAAATTGGAACGAGCAGGAGGTCAAGCGGCTGTGCTCCGTTAGCGCATCGAACTGATTCCGGAAAATTGGGAGAAACTGACTATGCCGAGTAATACCAACCAACATCTTCAATGGTTCCGAAATGCGTGGTAATATTTGGTAACGCTGTTGCGATCATATTGAAATCCTAAACGTCTCTCTTAGCATGAAGTGGTTCCACCGGCCTATGTGGCATCCAGGGGCAAGAAAACGGACCAAACCAGTGAGGATCAACGACATGCACATGGCAAGGAGCACGACAAGGAATTGAAAGCCGGTGGGATACTCCATGCTCTCTTCTTGACATGGGACATCTTGTACTTGTAGCATCAATGTTGGAGTGCGAGCCTCATCTTCGGGAGCCATCATGGCGAAGACACTACAGCCCGACAAGATGCGAGTTGACAGCGTATGAATTTGAGGTGGACAGCATTTTATACCTGCAATGGTCGGGGTTCGGAATAGACTAGGTATACGATATACAATGGAAGGCGTCCACTGCGCCCGGCCTCCGTAACATGACCGATAATTCTCAGCTTTCTTATTCAGCTGCAATTGATAAGACAAAGTCGAAAGCATCGAATACCGATAACTCCGAACTCCGTCACTACCTCCGTTTAATCATGTCCAACAGCATATAATTGTAAAATCAAGTGTCCTCACCGGGGTATTTAGGAATCCATAACAAGGTATCGCCTCCGATTCTCCTTCCATGCTAGAAAAAAGACAAAAAGAACCATTTAGTCCCAAAGATGCCGATACGCCCTTCCCTTGAAATACCGGGTTGATTTCGACCGAATCAGGTAGTGGTTTTGTGTCGAACATGCCCGTTGTATCCTTCAGAGATACTTTCTATGGGCTTAAAACTGGTCGATTAAAGTTGGGCTATTAATAAGAGGCTTATACAATAGGCCGGTCGAGACTATCATAACCTTTGTGTCAACTGAACGAGCGTATTGATTCACCGGTCTGGTGCCTGACCATTTCCCAGGAATCCAGTTGTATCATTAGATCGGCTTCAATAGCCAAGCGGGTGTGGAACTGTCTCAGTCATCCTTGCTAATCGAGCTTAGGGCATGCGCAAGTTTCAGGAGGACAACACTTTCAGTGGCAGCGAAGTAGTTCAGACTGTACGATGGACAAATCAGCATTGGACACAGTCCTAGAAAGTTTTTGGGCGAACTTACCTGTCCATCAAGATGCGTAAATGTCGACTAAAATGATCTTCATATCGTTTCAGCGTGTCCTCAAGCTTGCTGATCCGCGAGGGGTCGTAACCCCTTCCGTCCGGATTCGAGGCCTTGTTCCTCGAAAGCTCTGGGTCAGCCGTCGCCAAAGCCCGTGCAAGCGACGAGGCAGTCCAAGATGCAAACATGGTGCAGCAGGTCATCAACTTGGAATGAATCTAAGTTTTTATTAGTATTGCTGCGGGAAAATGCATCGAAACCACATGACACACCTTCAGTAATTTAGCTTGCGTTAGCATGCATTCTTTGAGGCATGTGTCCAAGAAATCCACATGGTCCTGCATTAATTCATCGACAGTTCGGTTGACTTGCTTGGTGCCGTTTACAGTCACTTCGGACCCGTCCGCATCCGTCCCGTTCACACGATCCATGAGATTTTGCCAGTTTGGTTCGATGACTTCGGCCGTGCAGAAATAAAGAAGCTGCTGGACGAAGACAAGCATCTTGGCGCGCAAGTTCCACGCCCGTCGCTTCCACATCTCTAGCCTCCGGTCTGTGGATTTGTGGCGCCAGCCAAGAACCTTGTTCTGGTCTAGCCAGGCCGTAACTAGGAGGTGCTCGAGATGACGGAGTGAGAGGAGGTGGCGGAAAATGAGTTGATATCGCAAAACAGTCTTGCGACTAATGACCAGAGACAGGGGGAAGGGGACGGAGTAATCCAATTCGAGCGCATCAAATCCAGCAATATCTTTTTCCTCATCTCCACCTTGTGTTTGCGGAGCCTGGTATTTCTCAATCGCTGCCTCAGGGTTGTCCTGGTCAATTCCAGAGACGCTTACGACCTGCATCAGCCATTTTGTGAGACCAATCTTGTTCATTCGAACTTTCACATCTTCCTTGAAAGGATCTTGTGCAGCTATGCTACCCGGCTGACGTAGAACAAGATCAAGCAACGACTGTAGTTTGTTTTCGTTGACGCTTTTGGCCGGCTTGCGCAACTCTGAGGCGCCAAGCTCGAGGAAATAAGAGAAAAAGTCGGAACGGTCCAAAAAGAAGTAATGTTTGAGGGAGCGAAAGCGAGTAGTGAGAGAGTTCTTCGTTAAAAGAAGATTCAATAAAGAGGCATTAGCATAGGTGTAGGCGGCGTTGACGTTCTCCAGGAAACGTGGATCGTCCAAAGTCTTCGGCACATCCTTAACCGCTTTGCTGATATCGACACCACCGCATTCTCGTACTACATTCAAATACTTTCCGGCCAATAAAACTTTGTCGCGCACGCTATCTAGCTGAGGGGGAACCTCATTTTCACGAATTGTATACCGTTTCTCCCAGTATTCATCTGTGTAGTCTTCCTCGAGCTTCTCCCGTTTGATCCATTTCTGCTCTTTAACGAGGAATTCTGCGTGAGGGTCCTTGATACCTCCATGATGGAGCCACTCATTGAGCATAGCCATATATGGTCGACTAGCTTCACGAAGTAATTTTTCCAGAAGAGTCTTCGTAGTCGGGTCCCCAGAAAATGTTGCTAACCGCTCGGTTAGTAGTCGAAGAACGTTACCTCCTTTACAGATCTTCTTGCTGGACATGGCGCCAGGGACAAGGTCGCCACCCTCTTTGAGCTGTTCGAGAATGTTGTCCACGTCATCAAAATCATCGATAGATTCGTCCAGGTCTTGGTCCAATAAGCCATTGCGCCGAAGTAGTTCCTGGCCCAATGAGTATAATTGGGCTAAGCATTGGCTTGTAGGCATGGTGTGTAAATGCAGAAGATGTAGCGTGAAGCTTGGGTTGTTCACAAGTTGGGTTTCAAGTTGAGCAACAAGGATCAAGTAGTCCTTTAGGAGCTTTCGGATCGCCGCGCATAGCGCATGACTGACTGCTCCATATTCTGCACGGCTTTGAACCTCCACAAATGCCTCCAAAGCACTGTAATGAGTCGCCATCTTTAACATGGACAGAGTAAGATCCCTTAAGGTTGGGTCCACGCCTGATGGCAGCTGAAATACCGGACCAGTCAAACGGTCCTTCTCAATAGATGAATCATATCCACTATGATAATGAATATACTGGCCTTCAAAGCCCATAAACACGAATAGTAGGTCTTCCAAGAGGGCTGTCTCTTGTGCGTCGGCAGAAAGCTCGCGAATTGAGACCGGGTGAAGCGATTTGGGTAAAGCTGAAGCAAGAGAAGGAACTGATACTCGAGTGGCCAATGGTGCTGTTGAATGGGATATCAACGAGGCATGTGGATTCCATGGCGCTGGGATAATTTTATGGTCAGCATCCTAGATAAATGAGCGCTTGCGATGAAATGGCTATCACTAACACTCCACTGGCTCCTTATCCTTCGTTCGCATATTGGGACTAGCACCATCCGTCAGAGTAGCCCTCCTTGAGCGTGACCTTTCCCATTCCCCTTTGTTTCCTGTGCTAGAAGACTCCTTGGCCGGATTTCTCGCTCGAACTTGAGCTTTGTCTTTCGAATGAGGTGCCATTCGTTCGGCACGCTTGTCGCTCATCATATCACGTTGCTCTCGAGAGGGCTTGCCCTTCTGACTCGACGTGCTTCCACGATGATTTAGCTGTTCCGATTGCAATGGGGACGCACCGCTGCGAGCATCACCGACGCGATTCGAGGAAACGCGGGGTCGTGGTGCGCTCATGTAGCTGGCGCGACGGTCGTTGACGGACATTGTCCCGCGAGATAAACAGTGTAGGGTCGACCATGCATAGACTGAGAGTAAACGCAAGGGATAAGCAATGAAATTGGTAAAAAAGAAACAAGGAATCGAATGCAGAAGTATATTGTTGCTCTGTCACGTTCCGCAGTTACAGTAAGCAAATGGAGACTAGTGCAGTGATGCCTGATGCTGGCCTGAGGCGAGCACGGACTCTCCGCCAGGCACTCAGCGGACTTGCGTAGACCTGGAGCTTCGCCCGAGCTTCCAAGAACAGCTCCCAACACCATCTTCCTCCCTTCCCTTGCAAAGCTACTTCCCTGTTTCCTCCCCAGAATACCCCATCAGTGCGCCAATATCAACTGCAAGTGTCATTGTACTGCCAAAATAGTCCAACATGTTCATCGCGCGATCGGAATATGGTAAGCTCCGTCAGGCATCTCCCCTCCAATGCGGGCTATCTAACAGCTTTCTCTCCAGACCGTGGAATCAAGTATGAAATCATCCTATCTTACCCACCTAGACGAAGAGGACTTCTTGGGCTCTAATGATAGAATTATTACAGCACCTTCTCCCCCGAGGACGTTTATTCCAGGTCGAGTACTCTCTTGAAGCTATCAAACTAGGTTCGACAGCGATCGGTGTATGTTTCCCGCATCTTCCAAATAATCCAGTCCAGAAAATCCTAGGCTTGCCACATAAACTATCTGGCGGTGCTACACTACACAACCGGAACCCAACGCACCGTTCTGACATCATATCAGGTCGCAACCAACGAAGGCGTCATCCTGGGCGTTGAGAAACGTGTCACATCTACTCTTCTTGAAGCCTCTTCTGTCGAAAAGATTGTCGAGATTGATCAGCACATCGGCTGTGCTATGTCCGGTCTGCAGGCAGATGCCCGGAACCTCGTCGAGCATGCCCGCGTTGAGTGCCAAAACCATGCCTTCCACTATGCTGAACCACTGCGAGTTGAGAGCTGCACCCAGGCCATTTGCGATTTGGCCCTGAGATTCGGAGAGACCGGGGATGACGAAGAAAGCGTGATGAGTAGGCCTTTTGGTGTTGCTTTGTTGATCGCGGGTTTTGATGAGGATGGCCCTCAACTGTAGGTTTCTCCTGGTGTCAGATCGGCCTTTCCAGAAAACATGTGCTAATGTCGCTAGATATCACGCTGAGCCATCCGGTACATTCTACCGATACGATGCGAAGGCCATTGGATCCGGAAGCGAGGGTGCGCAAGCGGAACTGCAGAACGAATATCACCGCTCCCTCACTCTAGAAGAAGCGGAGACACTGGTCCTCAAGACACTGAAGCAGGTCATGGAGGAGAAGCTAGACGCCAAAAACGTTCAGCTTGCCAGTGTGACCAAGGAGAAGGGCTTCCGTATCTACAATGATGAGGAGATGGGACGGGCTGTTGCGACCTTGGGTGGTAATCAATAAGCGAATTAATGCACAATGATTGTGATGAGCCTATGCGTTATATTGAGAATACATGTCATACATGGGCTGGTATTTGTTCTGGAAGTCGAATAGAAAAGATCTGTCTAATGATTTATCCCTCAAGCCTTGTTCCGACCCGATAGGACTTCGCTGATATCAAATACAACAAAGGTATGATTCTTATATACAGGTCGCTGCACATCTAGACTCTTCTCCCTCTACCTAATCTTATAGACACAGGGCTTAAGAACGGCAGCCTCTTCCGCAGGGGACATATTGTTACCGGCATCAGCTGGTTTTTCAATGAACCTCTTCTTGCCTGGTCCAGCTTTTGTACCGGTCGCGGATGCATGCTTGCCCTTTGACGGCGCAGGGCCTTGTTTGACAAACACCATCTTCACAAACATCTTGTTGGACTTGTCCACCGACTCAGGCTTGAGGACGAAGCCTCTCGTACGAAACACTTCAACGAATGAAGATATATCGGTCTCGTCGTTATCGGCAGGACGGGCATCTTCAGCGTAGACCTCTGCGTCGTCGGCGTCAGAATCAGCATCATCGGCTCCTTCGCGCTTCTTGAGCTTTTTCTTCTCCGACTTGCTGAGGGGTTTCCTAGCTCCAATCTGTGCTTTCTTGCGCATCACTTTGCCGAAACGGCTCTTAACCTCGCTCACCCAGCATTCTCCCTTGCCATCACTACGCAGTACACGCCATGCTTCTTCCACGAATGATACCCAGTTGGTGCCCATCAGACTGAGACAGAAGATAGCCACGTCAACGCTACCATCATTAACTGGGAGGTTCGAAATATCCGCTTTGGTAATAGGGGAACCTTCAGGGGCGTGCAAGTCATAGCTGTGAAAGTTCAGCTTCAGCTTTTGCGCCGAAGGGATAAGTGCACGGGCAAGCTGAGCGTCACCACAGCCAAGATCGGCGATGGTGCATGTCCCATTGGGTCGCCGAGGTAGCGGGTCACGGGTTTTGCTGCCAGATTTGTCTCCTTTCCTGGGTGCAGCCACCTTAGCTCTGGATCGGATGGACTGAATATAACCATCAACAGGATTCGAAGGCCAGGATTCTTTCACCTGGCGAGAGAAGCCGGCGTGGTATTCGTCGAACAATTCTGGGCTGGCGGTGAACAGCTCAAGGGCCTTACTAGACGGCGTTGTGTAAAGAGTTTCGTTCAAGTGACGGAAACGAGAGGAGATCAACTTCTGACGCATGGCTTGCTGCAGAGGCGTAAGAATCGCCTCAGTCTTAGGCGGGGCGGGAGTGATAGATCCAGTGGCTGCTGGGGCTTCTTTAGAAGTCACTTCGGTTTGAGTATGGGTTTCCTGTTGCTGTTGCTGCTTGTTCTTGTTCTTCTTGTTCTTCTGCTTCTTGTCCGCCTTCTTGGCTTCACCAACATCAGGCTTGGGGGGCTTGTCCAGCTTGGGTTCCTCTTTTCCTTGAGACACTGATGGGCTTTGTCCAGTCTTGGCTTGCACATCTTGTTCCTTCTTCTGTTTCTTCTCAGCCTTCATAGAGTTTGGTCCCTGCTTGGAAGGCTTCGGGGTGCCCCTCTGACCCTCAATATGCCGGCGGTACATCTCATCGACATTTGCCTTAGTAACGTGATCATCGCGCTTGCGCTTGTTGTTCTTGTCCTTAGGTTTGGGGGTTCCGTTGGCCTGTTGGGGCTGGGCTTGAGATTGTGATCTTGGCTCAGTCTGCACCTGCAGAACAGAGCTCGAAACCGACCAACCTGGAACGGCGAACATGACTGCAGTGGAGGAGTGAGTGTATCACGCTATATGTCAAGGGAAGCTAACTTGAATGACTTCAACTGATTCGTACTAATCCTGCAATGATCTCACTGTAAAATCCACTGGGAACGAATGGCCGATCATGTGAAGTAACCGCTCCAAAAATTTCTGGCAGTAAAAGGCGGGATTCGAACAAAATTTCGCGGTTAGTTTGTTATTTTCTGCCGACCCATGGCAAGGCGGTCAATATGATGATGCACGACGAGGGTCATGGATGAGCTTCAGGTTGAGACAAGGCCCAGAACAAGGTCTTTTCTTCACCTTTGTTTTTCTTGCCTTTTCCTTGGAATGGCAATGGTTTGGTGGCTTACCAGGCCTCGTACAGATCAAAACACGAAATCTCCTTTCTTTCCTCCCTCACTTCTTTCTTTTCCCTTTCTATATACCCCCTTAACAGTTCAACACAGTGTTCCTATCAACCAAAGTGATAGGATACCAGGCCTCAGAAACTGGATTCTTGATGAGGGTGTCGCTCCTGCCCGCGGATTCGGAGTAAGTATGCTTACGGTGGATCTTACCGGTGTAGATCGTATTAGTATTTCCTCCCACGGACATCTTTATTTATAGTTTTAAACCTTAGCAACGTTTAAGACGGGACTGCCTCTTTTCCGAGTACGTACAGCATTTGCTAGTTTGAGACCGCCGTTCCTTGTCTGGCATTTTCTTTGTCCTGGCCGTATCGGCACTGAAATCTTCATAAAGACGGACCGGCACATGTCTCATTCCTGTGAGACTAATATATTATTTTAGCATTATAGGTAAACCTACACCAAACAAAAATAAAAATAAAAATAAACCAAATAGGAGAGGAGGGACGTAAATGAACAGAGGAACTCGCACTAGTCTGCCACCTTCTCAAGCCTTCTCAAGCCCTCCCAGGATCTGTGAGTTGATCGGGAAACTTTATGCGGTACCTCAGGCCAATCAGATTTGCCTCAGGCCCTCTTCTTCCTTGGACTAGTGTAGTGCTTTTACTCTCTGTTCCATAAGTTACTTCAACGCTGACTTCGTCGTCGCTCCACTGCTCCGGCCGGAAGCTATCTCGGTGTTCACTATATCATTGCTGTCATCCCTGACTGTCTGAAGACCCCCAACGCCTTCTTGAGTATGGAAGTAAACCTCCATCCGAGTCTTGTCAACTACCATGGAGAATGCGAACTCTATCAAGCAAGAAGCTTGGGTCAGCACCACAGCTACAGAGCCGGATCGTGACTACTCAGGTGTCATAAAACAAGACGCAGAGAAGACAGCGCCGGATGATGCACTGGCCCAGAAAATTCCCAAAAGACGCACCAAACAGGATGTTTAAGTACGATTGCCCCTAATTGGGATCCCTTAGTTGATAGATCTCTTTGGCTAATTGTTAAAGCTTGCCGGCAACGTCGCATCAAATGCGGGGAGGAGAAACCTGTATGCAAGAACTGCATCAAATCGAAACGAGAATGCAAAGGATATGCCCAGCGCCTAGTCTTCAAGAACCCTCTGGGTATTCCCGGGTTCTCGAGCCTCCAGCAGACATTCAACACAGCAACAGTACCAATTTCTACTGGATACGATGCTCCTATATCGTTGCCTGAGAAGCCAGCTGGTTCTCGTCAACCGACCCTCGCCCCTAAGCCGGTTACACTTCCAACCACGGGGCAGGACCCTATGCCGACCACCGTGCTTTCGCGGCCACAGGAAAGCCAGCAAGCTAACGCCATGCCGACAGCTTATCAGCTGGGTGAAGGGCAGACTCAGACATATCCGGCGTCTGAACACTATATGGCTCCAGAGCCTCCTTCCTGGGTTACATCACAGTCTCAGAAAACGGAATCTGAGATCAGGGAAAGCTACATACACCATGGCGCGCGTGACCTTTCTATTCAAGGCTATTACCCAGATATCCAAGAAAGCAAACATCCCTCACACTCATCTGCCATGCCTCAAAGTCTAGCAAACAGCATAATACATTCCCAACCTCCTTCTGCTATACCCCAGGTAAAATACCAAAATACGCGTTCTATGACTATATTGGTTAGTGCTAACACTCTGGGAGGTACCGAACTCAACTTGGGCGGCTTGCTCAGCTGCTCCCCACGAAGAACAGCAATTGCAACAAGTGACACCGGCACAGATATCAATATCTCCATCCCAGATAACATATATGGATGAGGATGATGATGACTACTACGATGTTGAGACCGACGAAGAGCTAGAAGAGCAGACATCAACGCAGAATTTCAATCAATTGAGTCTTATAATGACCTCTGCCAATAGAGATGAACGGCAACTCCGCTCATTCACAACATATCTGAACGAGCCTAACGTCCTAGCTTCATATCACCCTACCCTCGGTTCATCCCCGTTGAACAATCCCAAAACCGCTCGAATATTTCTTCATTTCATCCACTCCACAGGCCCTTCTCTATCAATCTTTGAGCGTCATCCCATCGACCCTTCGACTATGTTCGGTGCTCCGGTCCCAGCGGCACAGCAAGGATTGTGGACGTACACGCTGCCTTTCAAGGCGTTGGAACACCCGGCATTGCTTCAAGCTATTCTTGCGCTTAGTAGCTTACACATCTCGTTCTTGCAGCAAGCGCCCGCCACAGTCTCTTTGAAACATTATCACTATGCCCTCAAGAGAATCGCGGTGGCAGTAGGCCTACCCATGAGACGTAAACAAGTTGGCACTTTAGCTGCGGCTCAGTTATTAGGTTATTACGAAGTGATGGCCGCCGATCCTTCAAAATGGAACAACCACATTGCAGGAGCAGCTCAGCTAGTGCGCGAGATCGACTATGCCGGCATAACGCGAGACCTTCGTGCCTACCGACGCAGAATATGTGCTCAGCGATATGAAATGGGCGGCCTCGCCTTCCCGTTCGCTGGGAGTCATTCTCTTAGTAACAGATTTTCAGAAGACGATCCTTTTGCTGAAAAGGAAAGTAGCATCGATGAGAATATCATAGGTACTATCATCGGTCGAGCGGTTAACTATGACGATTTCGGCGAAGTCGATGATGGCTATGATGGGCGATCTTCTAAAAGATACTTCACCCGAAAAGATATCGAGAATTTCCGGGTCCAATGTGACCTTTATTGGTGGCATTTTAAGCAAGATATTTTTCAGAGCATGCTTACCGGTAATGAGATGTTGTTAGTAGAGCTCCATACCACTAATTGAAACCTCATGAGCTAACGGCAAAATAGCATGCCCAGTTCCCAATGGGGCCAGTGCCCTCCACGAGCAGGTTTGGGCAGATTGGACGCTATCTACGGCTCAGCAGACCATCTGTGGCTCCTACTCGCCCGAGTAACCAATTTTGGGATTCGGGATAGGAAAAGAAAAATAGCTGCCATGGCAGCGACGGGATCAAATTGGAGGCCGGGCCCTGAACTCTCCAAATTCATGGCCCGTTTCGCTAAGGGCCCCCCGGATGCACGGGCCAGACCTGCTTCGAGCTCGTCGTCCAGCACACCTCCTGCCTTTTCTGGTGTCCCTGCTGGAGCACAGGCGCACGGTGCCAACAGCGCCGGGTCTAGTCCGTGGTCTGGAGGTGGGTCGGAAAAGTCGGTATCGGGAAAATCCCCAGAGCCACGCCAGTCACACAGCAATAGTCCTGGAGCACAACCAGGAGCTCCTCCCATGTACGGTATGGTCCCAGCGAGTGGACCCAAGCGGCTGCCTTTAGCGTTTGGTGAGGCAACGACTCAAGCTGGCTCTGTTGGACAAGATGATGACGACTCTGAAACTTTATCGTATACTGAAGTTGAACAGGAATGGGAGAGTATTTTGGAGGCCTTTGAGACATTTGCTCATGCTCTTGGGCCGTATTTCAGGCCTCTACCTTCTGATAGTGCACCTCCCATCTCGACTGTGTTTGGACCCGCCCTTCAGTACCGTACGCATACGATTGCAGTAATCTGGGGCTATTACTACATAGGCCGCATCCTTTTGCACAGAATACATCCGTGCATGCCACCTGCAATGATGGTGGCTGCGGGCGTAGCTGCGCCTACTACGGCGGAATTCTCTCAAATGATTGGAAAGATCGCGGCAGGCATTTACTACCCACAACTATTTAATCTAGAAGCAGGAAGTTTGAGCCCCACTCTGGGCTCTTGCCTGATCGAAATCACCGTGCCTATCTTCTTCGCCGCCGTGCAATTCACAGACCCTCCTCAGCGTGAATGGACAGTCACTAAATTGCGCACCGTCTCCCGCTTAACGGGTTGGAAAGCATCAGATGCCATAGTCCATGGATGTGAGAGTGCATGGAGAGCTGCTGCAAAGCAAGGACGTGGTCCCCCCTATCATCCGCCAGACGAGACCACTGTGCACCAGCCGCCCGCTTGGATGTCGGCTACAGAAAGCCAGGCTAATGAAAACTCTGAGCGACGCTTTGTAAAAGTGAAGCCTCCATATACGCGCTATGCCATGGGGGTTTTGATCTTGGAGGACGAAATGGAAAATTTGGGGATAGACGAGCGGGTGTAGCGCAGTATCCTGCAGCTTGTCAACTAGCGAAAAGTTTGATGTCGTCTCGATCCACATCACGATGACCGAAACGGTATGCGATGAGGTGAGACATCTCCGCTGTTCAAGGCGACTTTCGGGAAAAAGCATCAGGAAAAGAAGGAAACCTCACGATTTAGGTTTCCCTGGCAAGACTCATAAGACACATTCTACTGAGGAAGAAGCAGGCAGCCCTAAACGGCACTTTGAGGCTCCACTGTGGCTACCATTATTCTGTCAAAGTTGCAGGACAAGTGTGCGATTACAACGGGACATGATTCGCGGTTTGGCACCCGCAACTCTGCTTCCCGTCTGCTGCTTTCCCGAACAGGAAGAGCGGACAGCTGTCAGCTGTAGGGATGGTACCATATATATAGAGCTACCCGCAGGGACAGCTAAGACCGCAGATCGGCAATGCCCTTGCAGAATAGTGGAGGATGTCTTGGAACCGGAGTGTTTCCGTTGCAGTTGGATTTGTATCGACCATGTGGAGTACCTTGCGTTCTAGACATGGCTATTTAGGACCACTTAGTTGAATCCACCTGCTGATATGCATCGGCAGTATCACTTTTCTAGCAGACAGCAACGCCCAGTCGGGATATACGGATTGCGTAGTCCGTAGACTAATGCTCTTTCGCCTATGGCGCATAGATGGATAATGTAATGCCCAAAAGATGCAGGCAGGTGTCGAGCTGAAACTGACAGGCTAGAACTTGCACTGGATTGGGTACCTACTAGCCACATCGACCTTCTCATAGTAGGTACGGACCCTAGATTAGTAGTAGTTCCGGGGGTGGACCTAGTCGGTCTAGTCAATATCTGATTCTGGGCCCCTGTTTTGCGCTTGGTTAGCGTCAGAGATCGACGACATCTCGCCCATTCAGCATCAGCGGTTGGGCAGGAGGAGACAGTCAGCGTCTCGACGAGAAGAGAAGGCGAAGCCTCGTGGCGAATGGCTAAGAATAACCGTGACCGGGCGCATACTCTGAATCGCGTGTAATTGCTTCTAGCAACATCAGGGAGGAGGGAATAATACGGTATTGGACGTACTACACTGTATGTACACTGATTGCGACTGGTCGCCTCGGACGTCATCGTGAGTGGCCCGTTTTGAAATTCAGGCAGCGGCGTTTTTTATCTTTTTTTTTTTTTTTTTTTTTTTACAATCAATCTATCAACTTTCTTACTTTTTTTTGCTTGTGTTTGTTTCGATGATGCTCACTCTTCTCTATCTATTCTCGATTAGCATTTATATCCGCCTTGTCAACCCTCTGTTGACCGTCTCGTTCCAGTCCACAATCATCCGCTCCATTGTGCGGAACAATCCAACTCTCATTTCTCTCTTCTCCTAATCGTTATCCACGGTTCTACTGCAAAACCCCCGCCATCAGCCGTCGGCGGCCCGCAGTGTCAGCCGCTGTCGTCACCCACGGTTCGCATCCACCAGATCATTATTAACACCGCTTCTTCTACAAATCCCGGATCATAGGACCTCGTAATTATTAAGCACATGTCTCGATACAACGAATTTCGTCGCTCCACTGGAGTGCTCGAGACAGAGCCTGACCGCTGGGATCCGGATCGTTTTGCTCGTGAGCGACGGGAACGCCATCATTCCCGTGGCCCGCCAGTTCTCGATCGACCCCGCCGGGTAGAGGATGAACGATTTGAATATCGCCTACAGGAACATGACCGGTACGGCCCTCCTGCACGTCGCCCCGGCAGGCAGTATGAGGACGACCACCTCATTCACCCGTCCGGACCGCTGGTGGCCTATGACCGTTCACGCGCAGACAGCCCTCCTCCCCGTCCCCGTCTCCTACGACGGCAATCTTCCTTAGATACGTTTGACCGAATCCCCTCGCGCAAGTTAGATGAGTACTACTATCGCCCGGCCGCCACAAGGGCAGCCCCCAGCCCTCCACCGGTGCGGAGACGATCCTTTCGACGCTCGCGCGAGCCAGACTACTACGAGGAGATCCGCATCGCAGAACCGGATTATTACGGTGACGAGGAGTATCGCGGTTTCCGGGAACGAAGTCGCGCTTCAGCGCACCCACGTCGGTCGGGCAGTCATTTCCGCGAGCGCGTAGTTGAAGAGAAGGTTGAAATTGACAAACCGTATCCTCGTAAAGGCAAGACCAGGGTCCCCCGAAAGTTAATTCATACCCATGCAATTCATGAGCTTGGATACCCTTTTGAGGAAGAGGTACGTGTCCTCCGGTGGAGCAAATGTGGATTGCATCCACTTCGACGTTGACTGACTCGCGACAGGGTGACATGGTCATTATCAAACTTGCGCTTTCCAAGGAACAAATTGACGAAGTGATCAGTCGAAGTCGCACGATCAAGCGCCGGACTGAAAGCAAGTGACCACGTGCCCAAGACCTAGAAAGCATATTAACTAACAGTCTCCCAGCTCGGATCATCCACACCTCGCCGTCCCCCGTACGGGAAAAGACAAAAGACAGGACAGTAGAACGAGTCGCCATGGAGGCCTATTCGCCCCGGACGAGCTACAACACCCTGATTGTTGAGCCGTCGCCCTCGCGGCACCGATCACGAACGCGTCAATACGATATCTCGGAGCGGAAAGTGACGAGAGCTGTCTCCCGTGCGCGGTCGATTTCGGTCCATGGTCGCCGCCGTGGTCGGTCATCACCCGTGCGCATGGTCGAGCCCTTTGAGTCCAGCAGCTCTCATGCAGGCCCGCTCATCGTAGTGCGTCCCCGAGACAGCGACGAAGATATCCGTGAATACATGCCATTGGCGCGACGAAGCGGTGAAGTGACTCGGAAAACGGAGTTGCTGACCGATGGCGACTATGAAGAGGTGATTGAGACGAAGAGAGATCGTAAAGGTAAGTTATGTCTTGTTCGAAGAAAGCGATGAGTTGAATTCTGAGTTGTGCGACCCTAGGCCCCAATCCTCGGATCCTCCGTGCGATGATGGCAACCCTGACCTAAGCGTGGTCGGTTCGAGACTTTGTTAGACGATTGTTTCTTACGACTTACCGATCCCTATCATGCGTTATGATTCATTGACCTAGACGTTCAGCAATGATTCCTCTGTATGATACAATACTAGGTTGGCTGTGGCTTAAGGGTGTTCCACTGGGGTTCTCGGGGTTTCCGGCTATTGACATTACATGACGATAATAATGACCAATGTTTGGTTTTTTTTTTTTT